TTGAATATTTTTGAATATTTCTTTTAATTTTGCTGATAAGTGAAATCTGATATAATAAATCTTAAGTGGACATAAAAAATTACAACAAAACTATTGTTGATTCGTGAATTAAAAACCCAGTAAGTTTTAAGTTGCTGAAAAGGGTGAAAAGAAAATGCTTTTACAGTGCTCCCCACTAAAACATATTGAAATACTTCCACAAAAACGCTGAACTTGTCTGAGGTGAAATTGATGTTGTGGAAGTCATATTGCATTTATGCGCAATAAGCGTACGTTTGATAGTGATGCAATACGTGTATGTATATGTTACCATGGAGATAAGAAAGTCACGATTTTCACTATAGCGTCTTTGTTAAAAATGATAATTTTATTAAAATACACATAACATTAAAGACTGGTTGGTTGTCCAACATCTTCTTACTTCATATAGTGTTGTGTACTGTCCCATCAGCGTTCAAAATGCATGTGATTTGGATTTTTGTATGGCATAATCTCACATCTATTCTAACTTAGCCTAAACCTCAATTACGTCTTAATTCAAAAGCAAGGGGAAAAACACCAAAAAGACAGAAAATTCGCAGCTACTGCGCAAATGTATAAACATACTAGTATGTCACAATGAGGCACCGTCTATTCTTAGAGTGGGGGTCTTTGAAGTTTTTAGGATCAACGTTTACGCCATCGACAAACGGTTGGTTGTATCGTATGCTTGGGAATACATTGTTTTTCTTTGTTCCACTATTTTTCTTCGATGAGAAAAAATGTGGAAGATTCCTATACAATTTGTCATAATAATTTTGAAGTATGTCTCGTTATTTGTGTTGGCAAAGTAGAGTAACGCAACATGTCACTGTATGTGGTTGTTACATTTAATTGTTAATATGCTTCGCTTAAAAAATATAGGCTAACAATTGGATTACGTTTGGACCGATGTTTTTATTATTATTTTATTCCACTACGTCACTTACCGTAAGAGATCAGGTAGGCACGATGAACACACACGATGTCCACAGTCTTCAAACTGTACCGGGTATCTTAACACTTGGCAACAAGCAGCACATTCATATTTTTTATCCACGATGCCTTCAAAACAGATCTCGAAATCCCCCATTTTGGCATTGCTACTGCCGGAGCCGCTGTTACTGCTACTCGAAGAACCTGTTGACGCGCGGGACATCGCCGAGCTCTTTCTCAGTGAGCGTAGGCTCGGTGATGCGCTGGCAGGTGGGACCGAGGTTACACTCGGTACCGGAGACATTATCTCCGGCAGCACATCCAGATCTACATTCTCCATTGGTTCGGGCATTTTAGTCGTAAGGATTTCCAAAGAAAGGTGAGCTCAACAAGAGCTGGACCGCTACTTCCGACGCGGACTTTTCTAGACTTCTGGAGCAGCAATTACGAAGTCAGTATACCTAACACAACTATGCCACTTTAATTGATTAGGGGGTGGGGTTTTGCCTCATCAAGCAAATTGCAAATAAATATTAACTAGGTTGTCATAGAAACAATAATTATACCATGATTTACAAGGATGGATGCAAATTTAACGTTTTGTTCTCCATTTTGAATAATTAATGACACTGCCTGAAATCGATCATGTAACAATAGGAAATCGATCATATTATTAGAGTATCGTGTGAGTTAACAAAGAAGAAGGCGATAGTGTTATCCAAACACACATCGAATGAATGTATCGATGCATTATTGATAATATTTCACTAGTGTTCCGACATGTTTCAGGTTACTCTTCACCCATGACCTTGATTCAGGGACAAACTGTTGCTGCGTTTTGGTACTGTAATTCACGCCCAGTGTGTTCTGAAATGGAAACAAAACATGTTGTCTTTCCAGAATGTATCCGAGTTATCAGTGTTTTATTTTTTTAATTATTCCAGACTCAGGATAAAACATGTTCCAAAACTTGAAACAAGTTGACTTGTTTGAACATTTAATTCTACGTGTATTATATCAATAAAAGAAAATTCCGCTAACCAAATACTTCTCAAATAGTTTGCGACGTATAACTAAAAGTATCGTGGTATCAACCATTTGACGTACACGGTATCGGACACGTTTTTATTTAAACAAATGAAAATAGCAGCTATTGTCCCTATCAGTGTCGACGCTCGTGTCACGTGCCATTATGATTGCTTCGACCAATCACAGAACAGTATAAAAGTAGCTGTTTTAGGACACTACTTCAAGGTCGTTATCGGGAATTTAACATAATAAATAGTTCTTTATTTTTACGACGATACATAATTATTGATTTTGACACCTGTTTTTAAATGTCGTTTCGATTTTCGCAAGTGTCGTTTTTGCAGAAACACTGTCTGAAAAAATGAATGAACATTTTTTTCTAAATATGCAATATAGGAATTCACTATCATAACAAACAAATATACCGATATATACATCAGAATTTCGTTATTCTTCGTGATAAGCATAAATATATACCTTACCTACAAAACGAAAATGCTTAGAAATGGTGACAGCTTTTTACTATAGGGACTAATGATAAATTGATCAACAGTTATGTTCATAGATGTTTCACCAGGGGCATTTGTTGCGATCGTGACGTTCGAATTTTATATTGTTAAGGTGTGTTTCTAACGGTGAAGCGACTGGAATTTACTTGAATTCCACGGTGATACATCTTGTCAGATCGTATTATAAATTATTGCGATGATAATATATATGTACATACTACTGTTATTAAAAAGTGCGACTTTTTCTCAGGAATTTCTTTTCAATTCGCATGGTTATTCATAAAATGTATTTACTTCCGGGTCACTCGTCACGCTAATTCTGGCATTCAGGATTTTCACATGTTTAAATTTGGAATAAATTTTTCCGCACAATTTTGCCCAAATTGAGCGTTTCCACAAACATTATATTTGGGATTGGACATTTTCTAATGAAGCTTTTTGCATGTCAACCATATTAGCATACCGGATATACGTTTGTAATAATATTGCTAAATTCGTGTTGTCACGTCTAATGAGATGCATTTTCATCTTTAGTTCAAGGTACAGTCCAAACTATGAAACTAAAACGTCATATAACAATAACAACAGCCTTTTTAAAGCACGGATATGAGTCGAGATATTCAGGGCAATAACAAACTTATAATTAATGCACGTATCTTGTTATGCCCGACTGAAACCAAGGAAACGTGACGAACTACCATTTTATAGGAACCAACCACACGAATACCGCCCTGTTTGCGTAGGACAGTTACAATGTCATACGTGGTCATTGTACCGGCCTTTCACAGCAACACTTAGGGGTTCGCATAGTCCATTGATCCACTCAGTGTCGAAGCCAATTTCGCAAATAACGTGGTTGTTCTATTTGTAGAAGTACAAACCCAATCATCATACATATATTTATTTATGCTCAGAAGACGTACACAAAACATTTTTGCTTAGCGGTTAAAACAAATATACTTAGTTCATTGGTTGATTTGATTATACAGCGCCCACATCGGCGATATCATGACACGACAGCCTTTTGTTTTTTTTTATGAAAGACCTATTTTCATGTACACATTATTCGATCAATGCGCTTCACCACACGAATTAGATTCCTCACCGTATACTTCCTCGCCGGAAAGATGCATCATAACCGGAAGTATGGTTCAGTGTGCTGGACAGTTTCCTAAATTTGAACTAGGAACCAGACAGGTACTACAAATTAAGTTGCCTATAGTGTCTTATCAAAATTAATGTTG